TGCCGACCTGAGCCCTCACTCCACGGCCTCAGGGAAGCCTTCGGAAGGGAGCACCCAGGGCCCTCAGACCACAGCAGACTCAGGTACATGAGTGGGGACGAGCTCTGCCTGTGCCTGACCTGCCGAGCAGACCCGCTAAGCATACGGGGACCGGAGCACCGCGGCCAGAGCAGGCCCGTAGGGGAGCAGACCGAGCACCCCTCCCGCACGTACTGGTGTGTGTCCTATGTCAAGTCACTTTACCCCTGTCCCACGCCCGCCGCTTCTTTATCCTCTTGATCTGGGAGAAGGGAGGCTGCTGTGCTGGCACTGAAGGGCGTCCTGCTAACTGGCACTGCCCTACATCGCTGCTCTCTGACCGCCCGCGGCCCCTGCCAGCTTTCCTGAACTTCCCCCTCCCAGCCCCAGGCTGCCCCCACCTTGGCTGTGCTGGATTCCTCCTCGGGCAGCTTCTCCAGCTCCGGCCACTGCTGCCGGAGGGTGTCCAGCATCTCCTTGTAGCTGACCATCTTCTTGACGTTCCACTTGTTACCTGTATGGGGGTTGGAGGCTCCCGAGTCCAGCAGGGCAGGAGCCTACCCTCCCGCACAGCCCGGAGTCAGGAGGCCTCTGATGCCCACGCACCCCTAGCCTAGCCCTGCCGGGCCCCTCCCCACCATCTCTGGAGAAGTTTCTACACACACAGCAGGGTCGGAGGTCAGCAGCACCCACAGTGTGAGCCAGACCTTGCTGCCCCACACACCCTTCACGAGGGCTCCATGCTCTGCCCATAAGCCCAGCCTCCTCATCCCTCCGCACCCACATCACTGACCGTCAAAGGGCATGTACTCTATGAAGCGCACGTCCAAGGGGAGGCCCTCGGTCAAGGCCACAAAGTCCAGGAGCTCGTCCTCGTTCAGGCCGCGCATCACCACGCAGTTCACCTGCCCGGGATGAAGGGACCATGAGCGCTGCCCCTCGGGGCTGTTTTGCAGGGGTGACCTTTGGGGATCTGGGAACTGCCTCGGCGCTCCAGTGGAGGTCCCGGTCCTTGCCCTTCACCCCACAGCTCTCCTTGGGTTTGGGGAATCCATGGGGGTCACAGTTCTGCCCTCCCTTGCATTGTGAGGGGCAGGGCTGGATGCAGTGGGTAGGGAAGTGGTGGCCAGGAGCTGACAGGGAAAGACCAAGCCAGGTGGAGGGACAGAAGCAGTGGCCCGCCCTCACCTTCACGGGGCTGTAGCCCAGCTCGATGGCCTTGTGGATGCCCTCCATGACCTTGTGGAAGCCTGTGGGAGGAAGAGAAACAGTCAGGAACTCCTCCCTCTCCCTGGGCCCCTCCCTCACAGCCCTGGGAAGTAAGGCATCTCTGAGACCACTGAGGCCTGGCCAACGAGCGTTTTCTGTAAAGGGCCAGATCGTAAATATTCTAGGTTTTGCAGGCCAAGAGGCAAAATTGAGGATATTATGTAGGTGAAGGCCATAAAGACTTCATTGACGCAATTCAGAATCTGATAATAATTGAGAATAGTTTTTGGTAATACAGGTCCACGTATGGAATGGAAGAAACTAATTATTTTCACAAGGATAATATTTTGCTTGGTTGGGGTTCATAGTCAATGCTCCCTATCATTAAATTGATTGCAAATGTTACCTGTAAGCCCATTCTTGGTTCACAGGCTGTTAAAAGCAGGCAGGGGCTGGGTCTGACCCCTGGGCTGTAGTGTGCAACGCAGACCTGGGGGGCCTGCTCAGTCCTGAGAGGGAACCGAGGCCCAGAGAAGCAGGGCCCTGCTGGCTGCTGCACACCACAACTCAGAACACAGGCTCCTGGCCCCGTATCCAGGCTTTCTCCCCAACAGCCTGTCTGTTCATACAATCTACATGTTCTCACTAGCGCCTACTGTGCGCAGCTGTGTCAGGGCTGGTGCGCGATTCCCATGCATGTGGTTCTCACCTGTCTCTGTGCTTACCCAGGCTGGCCTGTCCTCCCCTCACTCCCCTCAGCCCCCTCAGCTCACTCCTGCACCCACTGCCCGCCGGTCTCACCCTCCCACAGCCCGCAGAGTCTGCAGATCACAGGGGATTCCCAGCCAGGATGTCAGCTGAGGGAGGGTGGCCTGGGAATGGCCTTCACGCTGTCCCTGCAGCCTTTCTGGACGGGCCCGGTGAAGGAGGACAAGAGGAGGAATGTGCAGCAGCTCTCTCCCCCGCTGTCACTTCAATGGACACCACAAACCTAGTGGCCTCACACCTCTTCAGTAGCCTGTCCTGCAGGACAATGTCCTGTGTGTCTGTCCCCTCCCAGTGCCCGGAGCAGGCTTCACGGAGGGCGAGGCCTCACGAGCACTTCAGCACATGGAGGGCTGTAAGCAGGGAGGCACAGGGAGAGGCCGGAGCCTCTGTCCCAATGTGAAGCCCACGGCCCGAGACCACAGGGGACTCTGGCAGGTCTCCCTCTCGCCCTGCCCTCCCCGATGAAGCCCAGTGGGAGGAGGCTGTGGGAGTCCCTGCTGCAGGGGTGAAGGGAGAGGCTTACATCCAGGATGGGCACAGGGAGCACCCTTGGGGGCTGCTGGGGGACCCCCACCTGGCAGTGCTGGCCCTGACCCTGGCACCTCAGGGCTGCTGCTTCCACCCTGGGCGGCCCCACATTTCTGCAGAACTCATCACAGGGCAACCAATTCAGCCCAGATTGCCAGGGGCTATCTTGGTTTCAAAATGAAAGTCCTGAGTTCTTGAAACCCTCTTAGTCATGAGCAAACTGGGGACAGAGTACAGGGAGGTTGGTCACCATAGCTCTTAGCATCTGACCCCCAAAGCCTTCAGGGCTGTGGCTGCAAAGACGAGGGGCATTTGGAGAGGGTGAGGGGTGAAGCCCAGGCTTATCCTTAGCCAAGACACCAAGAGTGAGAGCCCAGGCCTCTGGCCCCAGCCCCAGCTCCGGGGCCTCGGAGGGCACCTCCATTGGGAGCTGCACGGGTCACCCTTTCCCTGCGGACGATGAACTCAAACTTTGGCTGGGACCCAGCGTATCCCAGGCTGATGTTGATGGCACTGAGACAAGCTTTCTGGAGCTGAGCAGCAGGCGGGCGAGGTTGATGCCATTTGTGGTGACGCCGATGGCCCTCAGCCCCTTCCAGCCCGATGGAGCTGGGCTGTAGGAAGAGAGGAGGAGGCATCAGCCTACTTGTCTTGGTGAGGCCAGAGAGGCGAGTCCAAGTACATGGATGGACCTCAACTAACCAGGCTCAGCTTAATAAGAAACAAGAATAAAAACAATGATAAACTAACCAAAAGATTAAACACTGAGTGTTCCCTCTGCTAGAGGCTCTGCTGAGGGCTTGGGTGCCTGAGCTCATTGAAGTGTCACGATAATAATGATCCCACAAGAAAAGAAAGGCTCAGAGAGAGTAAGAAAATTGCAAGGCACACAGCTAGTAAGAGGAAGAGCTGAGAGTCAAATTCATGTGTATTTGACTCCAGAACTATCTATAATAATAAAAGGGTAGTATGCTAATTAGACTGGAAGTCCTTCCAGACGTCATTCCGGACGATCTTCCAGATGAAGCTGGGCCAGAGCGAACCCCGGGTCCCAGGCCTGCTGGCAGCCGGAGGAGGGAAGCCCGGTCCCAGGTGCCGGAGGGAAGCAGGTCCCAGGAGCCGGGGAAAAGAAGGCCCACTCTTGCACAGATTTTCATGCATCGGGCCCCTAGTGCTCTTAATAACTAACTCACAGGTCCTTATACTCTAGTTTGTTGACCCCTCCATTCCACCAAAAATCTCCAGAAACAACAGAAGGATTTAGAAAGACAAAACACACACCCATAATAGCACTGGAAGGCAAGAAAGAATGTGTTCAATGGCCCAGAAAGGTGGAGAAATACTGAAAGACAGAAAGCAGAGGGGGACCAGATGGCTCGAGGAGACCACGGCCCAAAGCACACATAGGAGAAGGTTCTGTACAAAGTGGGAGGGTGACTGGCATGCACCACACTTAGCAGTCACACAGGGAGCAGAAGGGTCCTTGGTTATGCCAAGGAGGTTGTCTTTTGGGGGAATTCTACTGGATGAGTTGGGCAGGTTGGCCAAGTTGGCCTCCCTCTCACCTCTAGGAGCAGAGAGAAGGCAGCAGCTTTTACCCAAGGCTAGAGCACTTAGGCAGCCTAAGGGGGTGGGGGAAGCCCTGAGTAGCTGCTGATAGTCGGGAAATATGGGAGCCCTGAGGCCCAGAAGACTAGCAGGACCTCATGCCCCTGTCCACAACCTCAGGGGCAACCAGCATAAACAGAAACAGCCCTGGCAGCCAGGCCAGCAGAGGCCTTGGGAACTAAGATGAGTACAGTCAAGAATCAGCAAACATTTTGAACTAACAAGCAAAAGAGGGACAAACTCATAGAAAGCAGGCTGACAGCAGTTGGTGGTGGGACAATGGTGGGAGGGATGGAAGGATAGAGCAAAAAATGGGGAAAAAAGAGAAAAAACTCATGGACAGGAACAACAGTGTGGTGACTGCTGCAGGGAAGCAGGTGGGGGGAGGTGGATGAGGGTATAGAGGTGATAAATGGTGATGGACGGAGACTTGACTTGGGGTGGTGAACACACAATACAGTGTACAGAGGATGCGTTACAGAATTATGCACCTGAAACCTGTATAATTGTGTTAACTAGTGTCACCCCAATAAATTCAATAAGAAGGAAAAAAGTAAAGACAATGCTGAAAAAGAAACATAAATTTCACAAATAGAGAAATGAAAGAAGGAGACATGAAAGAGATAACAGATGATTCTTTTAAAATTAAGAGTTAGATGAACATAGATGCAAAAATTCTCAAAAATATTAGCAAAATTCAACAATACATTAAAAGGGTCATACACCATAATAAAGTGGGATTTATTCCAGGGATGCAAGGATAGTTTAACATCCACAAATCAATCAATGTGATATACCAGCATTAGCAAAATGAAGGATGAAACACATACAGTCATCTCAATAGGTGCAGAAAAAGCATTTGACAAAATTCATCATACATTCATGATAAAATTCTCAACAAAGGGGTATAAAAGGAACATTGCTCAACATAATAAAGGCCATATATGATAAGCCCACAGCTAACATCATACTCAGTGGTGAAAAGCTCAAAGCTTTTCCTCTGAGATTGGGAACAGACAAGGATGCCCACTCCTGCCACTTTTATTCAACATTAGAATTCCTAGCCAGAGCAATTAGGCAAGGAAAAAACAAACAAACAAACAAGCAAACAAAAAAATAAACAAAAGGCACTTAAATCAGAAAGGAAAAGGAAAACTGTCACTATTTGTAGATGACATAATATAAAATATAGAAAGCCCTAAAGACTCCATCTAAAAACCATTAGAACTAATAAACAAATCAGTGAAGCTGCAGGATACAAAGTCAGTATACAAAAATATGTTGCATATACACTAATAATAAACTATCAGAAAGATAAATTAAGAAAACAACCCCAATTACAATTGCATTAAAAAGAATAAAATACCTAGGAAACAATTTAACCAAGCAGGTGAAAGACTTTTACACTGACTACTATGAGATACCGATAAAAGAAATCGAAGAAGACACAAATAAGAGGAAAGCTATCCTGTGCTCACAGATTGAAAAAATTAGTATTTTGAAAATTTCCATGCTACTTAAAGCAATTTACAGATTCAATGTGATCCCTATCAAAATTCCAATGTTATTTTTCACAGAAATGGAACAAACATTTCTAAAGTCGGTATGGAACCACAAAAGACGCCACATAGCCAAAGCAATCTTGAGAAAGAACAAAGCTAGAGACATCACGCTTACTGATTTTAAATTATATTACAAAGCTATAGCAATCAAAACAGTAGAGTACTGACATAAAAACAAACACATAGATCAATGGAACAGAATCAAGAGCCCAGAAATCAACCCACACATATATGTTTAATTAATTTAAAGCAAAGGAGCCAAGACTATACAATGGGAAAAGGACAGTCTCTTCAATAAATGGTATGGGGAAAACTGCGCAACCACATACAAATGAATAAAACTGGACCACTATATGACAGCATACAAAAAGATTAACTCAAAATGGAATAAAGACTTAATAGGAAATGATAAAACTCCTAGAAGAAAAACATAGTCAGTAAACTTCTTGACGTTAGTCTTGGTGATGAGTTTTTGGATCTGACACCAAAAGTAAAGGCAACAAAAGAAAAAAGAAAAAAAGCAGGACTACATCAAATGCTGTTCAGTACAGCATTATTTAAAATGAGCCAGGACATGGAAGTCACCTA